ACTCTACCATCATCCACCCACTGAGTGATGTCCTCATAAAAGGCTATCAGGTTTGTCAAGCACGACTTCCCCTTAGTGAAGCCATGTTGACTGCCCCTAATGACCCTCTTATCCTTGATATGCCTAGAGACAGCACCAAGGATAAGTTGTTCCATTATCTTTCCAGGGATGGAGGTGAGGCTGACCAGTCTATAGTTACCTGGGTCTTCCTTCTTGCCCTTTTTGAAGACCGGAGTGACATTTGCTTTCCTCCAGTCCTCAGGCACCCCTCCCATTCCCCACGATTTAGCAAAGATGATGGCGAGTGGCCTGGCAATGACATCCGCCAGCTCCCTCAGCACCTGCAGGTGCATCCCATCAGGACCCATGGACTTATGGATGGGCAGGTTGCTTAACTGGTCCCTAACCAAGTCCTCATCAACCAGGGTAGACTCCTCCTCTATCCTGACTTCCTCAGGAGCCTCAGGGTTCCGGGGCTCGTCAGGGTAGCCTCTAGCAGTATAGACTGAGGCAAAGAAGACATTCAGTAACTCTGCCTTCTTCTCATCCTCTGTCACCAGGGCACCCTCCTCATTCACCAGTGGGCCTACATTGCCGCTAGTTTTATCTGCAATGGATTTGAAGAAGCCCTTTCTGTTGTCCTTGACATTTCTTGCAATGTTTAATTCCAAGGAGGTCTTAGCTTTCCTAGTTGCCTCCCTACATCCTCTGACAGCAGACCTATATTCCTCCCAAGTGGCCTGCCCCTCCTTCCATGATCTGTACACTCTCTTTTTCCACTTTTTGCCCAACAGTTCCCCATTTAATCATGCAGGTCTCTTGGTGCCCTTTCTTGACTTCCTACCTGTTGGGATGCACCAGTCTTGAGCTCGGAAGAAGAGGTTCTTGTTGACAAACGTCTATGCTAATTGCTCCCCTAGAAGCATAATACATGTAATCTCTTTTGAATTTAAGGAAAAGGTATTTTAAGTTATAATCTGCCTGTGCTGGTTTTGGAAATGCTTTAAGAAAGTTATTTTCGTAAGAACTGTGGCTATACCTATTCTAAGTAACGTATTTCTATGTCCGTAAGATGAAGGTGAGACAACACAACGCAGCTAACCTATAATCCTGTGTGATCTGATTAATTTGATAATGTCTATAAAATATTTTCAGTGCACCTTAGAATTTGGCTTTATATACTCAAAGTGTGATCTTTAGTTACTCTCACAATTCTGGCATCAGCTGCACCTGCGGGATATTTGGCACAACTTCTTTCAGGTTTACTTGAGGTGAGCATAGGTTTGACTCTATATCCTCAGTTGCTGAAAAAACTGATGTTGTATGACTGGAGTGGATTGGTGACTTTTCATTCTGTGAAGGATTGCTGATTCACACCCCCCCAATGCCTCCACCCCTTCCCTTAGAGCATATCTTCCTCTCAGGCATGATGTTAGTGCGCTCTGGTTGGAGGATTATAAAATGTAGTTGAGGGATTGTACGCGCTATGTATTCCATGGCCGTTTTTAGTGGATACCTCACCAATTGGCATAGTACAAAACCAAGTCTCTGAAAGAGAATTTCCATCAAAGAGAAGTGAAGCTGGTGGTGAAATGTCCAAAAAAAGGAAGGTAAAGAGGAGGCCTGTAGAATTCTCAGGTGATGACCTTGTCAGTGTATTTTTTTTGCTTGAGATTAGTTGCAAGATCACTTAATTAACTTAAACCGAAGGAGCAGAACCTGGTTTTGGCACTAAGCCAGAAGGCATGTCTGGAATACCTCCTCAGACTGTTCATTCACCAGACATGCTGCGTCATGACTGTGTGATGACAGGGAGCTACTTAACCTGGCTAGCTGTTGGTTGCACTTGGAGGTTAAGGTGTTGGCTTAGTTGATGAAGCCTCAACAACTGGTTTTGGAAAACTTCAACTTATACCTCTTATTTCATATATTGTTGCCATGGCTGCTGGAGACAGCAATGCTTTGCCCGAATCACCATATCTTTAACGAAAAGAAAGTTGTTAGCAGAATTCTTAGAGAGAAAATGGTACAGAATTTCTTTGTCTGGTCCAAATACAATTGTCTAAACAAATGTTTTTTTAAGCTTTTGGGTAAGACAGGGTTTCTGTCTTGATAATCATTTTTTTCTTGCTGGTTTTGGGCAGGCTGCATTTAATTTTGCTTGATAATGAAATAAACTGAAACTGCATTTTTAATACAAGCCCAAAGTGTCAGTCTTAGAATAAAGAATTTTTAAATTTCTGGCATAAATGATATTTATAGTGCTTTTGCTGGATTTGTTTGCATTCATTCAGGTTGAATTTGAGTGCATCAATGAAAAGAAAAGACAGAAGAAAAAAAGCTATAAAAACTCTGGCATTGTGAGCGTTAAGCACTGTGAGGTCAGTAATATACTCTGGTATGACTCTTTGTTTTGAGTTGTTCAGGCATAACAGCTCTCGTCTATATGCCTTCACCCTCAAGCTGTAAGAAACTTTAAAATATCTGAAATTTCCAGACACAGTAAATATTTAAGGGCTCTGTTTTATATAAGGAAACAGATTGACAGCTGAATCATGTGTCTGTCCTCCCCTGTCCCATTGCTCTCTCTTGAAGATGCCGTGTGTATGGCTAAGGTCCCTTACTAATTTGTAAGGGCTTTCCTGAACTACTGCTTTTCCCAACTCACCGTTTTATGGTGAATTGAAATCTGTTAAATCTGTCATAATATGTTGTTTTATAAATGGTAGTGCTTTTGGAGCTGCAGTGTTGTCTGCCTGTAATTTTTTAAAAGGCCTGATTCTGCTGCACTGAGTGTGTGATGGCACACGCTGTACCTGTCCTCACTGCAGTGGGTGGGTGGGAGGGATGTCTATAGAGTAAAAGTAGTGCTTTGCGTGGGCAAAGATAGCAAATCTGGAACCTCAAACCTTGCTGCAATAATACTACTTTTCTCCCATTAAAAAAAAAAAAAGTTAATTTATATCTTTAACTTCTATTTTTAGATCATAGTAGAATGCACATTCCTTGATTACATCATGGGTGGGTGTCAGCTGAATTTCACAGTAAGTTAAATCATTTATATAAAGTAGCTTTTGAGTTTTGGAACAAACTGTAGTATGTAATTGATTTGATTATGGTAGTATTATTTATTTTTGTTCTGTAGCGTGGAGGGGGGAAGCCATTTTGCCAGAGTCCATCTAGTCTGTTTAGAAAAAAAAGATTTTCTTTACTCATGACACAAAGTTCTGAATCCGTAGTTATGTTTCTTAGGAGCTAGCTGAGCTGTGTGGATGGAGACCAAGGAGAAATTTACAGGTCTCTGATTTACTTTGAGTTTCCTTTTCTTAAGGGCTCTTTCTTTCTTTTTCCTCGTTTTCCTCTGACCTAATATTTCACTTTTGCCCTTGATGGTTATTAAGGCCCTTTGCTTAATGAAAGCAACATACAGAAGCCATCATATGGGTTAAGACACTTAAATTACATAATTAGTGAACTGAATGCAGCACAAGTAATAGTAAGATGTCTGCACTGTCTCTAGGCTTCTGTGGAGTCTGGCTAGTCATACTTCTGAGAGGAAGGATATATATGGCAAGATACAGGATGAAGTTAATTTAACAGCTATTGAAGAGCTGCTGTGAATGGTAACTGAAAGGAAACACAGTGAAAACGTGATAGATGAAAGTCATTTGTCATTTCAGCCCTACTGAGAGGTGCAGAGCTTCTGCTAGTTTTGTGGTGGCATTGTTCTGAGAGTGTAAATATTTCAAGAAACCTACATCTAAGTATTAGTGCAGTATTAGTGCCTGTTAGATTTGTAGATGTCCTGGTAGCTACTGTTTACAACTCTTTTGTGATTTTTCACTTCAGCTTTGGCAGAGATAAGAAACATTAGTTTACCTCTAACAGCAATTTGATACAAATACTGCATTTGACAGGTGGGAATAGATTTTACAGGCTCCAATGGAGACCCTCGCTCTCCAGACTCTCTGCATTACCTCAGCCCAAATGGAGTTAATGAATACCTGACAGCAATTTGGTCTGTAGGAATGGTCATTCAGGATTATGATACGTAAGTTTTAGATTTTTATTTAAATCATTTTTTAGATACTTACAGATTTTTGTGATAGTTTCTTAAACCAGTGTTCTAGATGCCAGCAGATATATCGGAATGAAACTTCTGAGCTGAAATGTAGAGCTAAAAAAGACTTCATAATCACTGCACAATCACATAATCACAAGCAGAAGCTTCTGTTTACAGCAGACAAGCAAGGCTTTTCATCTGTGATATAAAGAGCAGCATTAATTTAAATAAATGCTTGCGTTCTTGCCGATTTGATGTTAAAGACTAGTTTTGGTCCTAGAAACAATTACAGAGGAGAACTTCCATTTAATTTTGCCTCTTAATGCTTAATAAACAGCATTTTTAATGATCAAAAGCAGCACTGATTAGCTAAACTTATTGAACTATGACGGCTGTTAAAGGAAGGCACTCACTTCATTTTCTTTAAAATTGCTTTTTTAGAGATAAGATGTTTCCAGCCTTTGGATTTGGTGCACAAATTCCTCCTTCCTTTCAGGTAATGGAATATGTAAATGCACTACATAAGACAACTAAAAGCACTTACTTCAGGAGATTGTACATACAGTCCTGACTATCTCTTTTTTGTATTGACAGGTGTCACATGAGTTCCCATTAAATTTTAACCCATCAAACCCGTTCTGTAATGGTAAGTCTAAGCCAGTAATGTCAGACCTAGGGAGTAAAATGTCTAACGTGAAGGGATAAAAACACTTGAAAGATGAACTGTGAAGCATGTTATTCTAATTAAATAATGAGTTTAGTGGTGTAGCAGGAAACAATTTTATAACCCTTTTCTTAGTTATTAGAAATAGCATTTGATCTCTCTTCCATAATGATTTGTGAAAGAAGTGTTTTAAACAGCGAGGGCACAGTACAGGTAAGCTGGGAACGGTTCTTTCATGTTGTCAAGCCACTTCATTCTACTTCGCTGCTGGTGTGGAGTTACCTGGTTGAGTGTGATGCTGTTAGTCCCTGTTAAACATGGCCTCTCTGACCACACTGCTAACTCCCACAAGCTGCCAGGCGGAGAGAACTGTTATAATTCAGATAAATGGGATTGACCATACTATTTAGCTTTTCTAGTCACATAAAGCCAAGCATGTTAAGTATGTGTGTTAAGCATTGGTCAAGCTGAAGGCCTACGTTGCTCATGAATCTTTTGTATTTTTCATCATGGTTAGTTTTAAATATTTGCACCATCACTTTAACTGATATTTACTGTGTTTTAGGAAGATTGACTGCTTCAAATTATCCAAATTCTAATATGAAAAAATTAATATATTTTTGTTCTCTAGGAATCCAAGGCATTGTTGATGCATATCGGGCTTGTCTTCCTCAAGTGAAGTTATATGGGCCAACAAATTTTTCTCCAATTATAAATCATGTGGCAAGATTTGCTGCTGCAGCTACGCAACAGCAAACAGCATCTGTAAGTTCTTTATTGGTAGTGTGTGTATTTTTTTTTCCTTTTTCTTTCCCTTCTAGTTTATAAATACTGTTTTTCTCTTCAAAGCTTTTAAGTGTACTTGTTTCGACAGGTGACTATTTACCTTGTGAATTGATGTCTGATACCCTTAAAACGAATAAAAGCTAACTGATTTTTGCAGATTGTATACAACAATTCTCTCCTAAATTAACTAAATAAACTCTTCAGAGTTGAAAGATCAACTAAAAAATACATGACACCTTTACGGTATCTTTTATTGAAAGAGCTCTTGTAGTGCTATACAGATGTTAAAATCTAATTTAAGCCTTTGCATATAGGAGAGTGATTTAACCTCAGCTGGGAAAAATCAGCTAGACCTTGTTTCACCTCAGATAGCTGAGAGAGAGAACTAAGTAAGGTAATGAAGGAGTGGAGGATATAGCTTCTGACATCTAAATGCCAACATAAATAAGTAACTGCCCTTACTATAAAGCTTTAGGTGCTGTATGTGCTGTGCCCTCCTCCCTATTAAATTCCCTAGCAATAGATTATTTTTTCTGCCTGAAAGGATATATCGAAAAAGTTTTGCTGCCTTGCCATTTAATGCATAGTGTGCAATTTAATGCCTAGTGTGCATATTTTGGATTGGATTTTGGCTTTGGGGTTGGTTGTTTTTTTTTTTTTTTCCAGTATGGAGGAAGTATAGAAGAGATAAGTAAATTCAATGTGATGTGCTATCATGCTGCTGATCACAGCCTTCTCTGATCATGGTTGCTTTGTAGTCATTCTTGCTGGAGTGGGGGAATGGAGTGGTGAGGAGCAATGAGAAAAGGTGATACTTGAACACAGGAGATAAGGGAAAACCAATTATTTAGAGGTAGATAAGGGAAGATGGGAAGCAAAGTACTGAAGAGGAAGGCTTTTAAGAATACTCGGAGTACCTTTGGAACTTGAATTTGTGCTGCCCAGTAATCGTCTGAAATAAACCAAGCGAGAGAAGACCAGAAGTTCAAAAAGCTTGTCATGATTTCTGAGCTTTGTACTTCTAGCTTGTTCTTGTTACTTCAATCCAGAACAGAGGCTAAGATGCCGACTTTAAGAAGCCCTGGCAGTATAGTGGAAGCAACTCAAGTTGTCCTTGAATTTACTGAAGTACTGCAAGGTGGTCTCAGATGCCTTGGTAACTTCATAAAGCAGCTAGAAAACAAGATTAACAGAATTTGAAAACGGCCATGCTGGTTTTCAGCGCAAAAATATGTGTTTTAATCTATATTTAGGATTTTAGGGATACACTGAAAAAATGAAGGCATGTTCTGTTACCCTTGGCAGAATTCTTTTATTTATCTGTTCTTAACTGAATAAAGCAAAGGCTAGCGTTTTATAAAGGTATCGATAGATCAGAAAGGAAATAAATACAAGTATCACAGGTTTTGGCTGTCCAAAACCTCAACAAACTGCCTTCTATCGCGGGACAAGTACTTGGAAGATAGGTTAACTATTGGTTTATCTGGGGATTTTGGAGAGGAGGAGGACTATTCCATTGGGTTTTTCTTTTAAAAGATTATGTTGTGGTTATAAATTTCTTTGGACTGTACAGGTGCAGCCTGACAACAACTTAGATGTTTGATTGTAAAATTCAGTGAGTGCATTGAACATGCTAAAAGTGACAACAGTATGTAGTTTCTTTGCCGTAACACGGTGTTTATTGATTTGACAGCAATACTTTATACTTCTGATCATAACGGATGGTGTGATAACAGACCTTGATCAAACTCGAACTGCTATAGTTAATGCTTCGAAATTGCCCATGTCCATTATCATTGTTGGTGTTGGAGGAGCAGACTTCGATGCTATGGAGTTTCTTGATGGTGACAATGGAGTTCTTAGGTCCTCGTCAGGAGAACCAGCTGTCAGAGACATTGTCCAGTTTGTGCCATTCAGGAAGTTCCAAAATGTAAGTAATCTTAATGGTACGCTTAATGTATATCGTAGAGGTATGCTGGGTTTGCTAGGATATCCTAGGTATAGTCCTAAGTTTTTGCAGTGTCTCTAAAATGAACTCTGAAGTCTGAGATAAGTCAAGAAAAGGACTGAAGACTTCAGCATCTGTAGAATTTCCATTAGTTGCTGCAGGGAAACGACCTTTGGAAATCTCCCTCAGACTTGGTTAAACAAATGGATGTATTTTTCATCTGGGAGGAGGAACTTCTGTGGTTTTGTTCTTATAGAAAAGTGTTTTTTATTGTGGATGCCCATTTGTAAATGTGGATTAGTCCTACGTTTTAGTGCAGTGTCAAAATTCAAGACTAAATCAGGAAGGTTGTAATCAGTAGAAATTGTGTATGGGCACAATACTGCTAATAGTTTTCGTTCTTGTTAAAGCAAATATACCAAAAAAATAGGCATTGAAAGAATGGAGCCCTAATTTTTTGCTGTAGAATCCAATAAAATATGCACAGGCTAATATAGTCTGGCTTTTAAATGACATATTGCTGGAAACAGTTGACTTTAAAAAAAAAAAAAAAAAAACAACAAAAAAAACCCAAAATTTCGTCAGGATGGGAAAGATAATATCAATATTTTTATTTCCATCCTAATATGTTCTAATTTTGTTTTGTTTCTTAATATTAACCCTTTTAATAATGCTGCTTATACCTCCTTATTTTGTCTTTGTATTTTTTCTTTTGTTACAAGTTCTTTGTTTAATCTCAGAGCAACTCAGGCAAACTGAAAAGAGAAAGAGCACAAAATCAATATAGAATATGCCTACCGAATAATGCACTTGGATGTAGACTAACTAGGGTCAATATTCAGTATAAAATTATATTTTCAAAAGCTTTCAGTTTCTAGAAAAAGGGACACTTTTTTTTTTTTCCTGTAGATACTTAGTCTTACAGTAAAAACAGTATCTGTAGAAGAGATACTACTGCTCTGTAGCAGTACAGTTCCTGTGGCTTGCACTTGGTGCCAAGGGTTGCAGGTGATTAGGCAAGCCCCTGAAGGGTCATCTTAAGCAGATAACGGAAGTGTGTTTACTTGGCTGAAGTCTGACATCTGCAGATCTGTGTGTGTATATCTCATATGACAAAAGGTATCTTCAGACATGGCAGCCCTTTTCGCGCCCGGCTCCTGTTAATTCCGTGGAACAAGGCAGCCAGTTGGTTTGTGGTAACGGGAGTGAGAAGGTAAAGATGTCAGGGAAGCTTCCATCTGTCTGTCCCACAAGGGCGCTGTGTAAAGTCTTCTGTAAAATGTCAGACTTTAAATTTTCCTAGTAGAGGAGGTGCTTATTACCCATCTTAGGATCAACTTTAACAGTTGGTGAAAACTGAAACTTGGTGTTCTTTTTTTGTAAGTCTCCAAAAGAAGCTCTGGCGCAGTGTGTCCTGGCAGAAGTCCCTCAGCAAGTGGTGAACTACTTCAGCACCTACAAACTGCAACCTCCTAAGAATCCTGCTACAAAGTGAATGGGCTGAGCAGGGGAGCTGAGACTTTGTGCTTGCTTTACTTTCTGTATCTACAGACCCTAGTTCTCAAGATACTTCTGTATAACTGTGTACACACACCTCTGTATGGTAACATCTGTTAGCTTTCGCCTATAAATCCTTTGCCAAGTGTGCCTTTTAAGGGCCAAAATTGCAGTTGTGTTAATATTTGATGTTGATTGGAAAGTTAGAGCTTACATGGGTGCATTTTATTGTGAAAAGTAAGAGTGGAAAAAAAAAGAGGTTGAATATGCAGACAGAAGGGGGAGAACGGCTGGAGTGGAACAGCTGCCCATTCGATAAATATGACCAGTGGGAGTGCTCAACTGCTTTTGTGGGGATCGACTCCAAGGGCTGCAGTTTCTCAGTGATCATAAAACCAGTCTGAAATGAAAAAGAGGGTATATCCCCACCAAGCAGATAAGTTTGTATGTGATTCAGCAAATTTGGAATATTTCAGGCTTCTGTTTCTATTAAGACACCATAACAAAATTTTGTCACAGGAGTTTCATAATTAGACGAGTGCCAGAACAGAGTGTAAAGGCTCTCCTTTCATGCCTACTTCACATTTACGACTTCAGTGCCTTTGGCTAATGCCTGGAATTCAGGACTGTGTGAACATGAGCCAAAGAAGTCATTAACATATATGTTTTTTGTAGTATGCAGTCTCTTAAAGTAGTACAGGAATACTTGGGTGAATCAAGGTAAACCTCTGACATCTCAGAAGAATCCTATTGGCCTTTGAGGCTACTACTGTAAAGGCTGTAAGATGTTATTCACTGTGTCCTGTGCTGGAAAACAGGAACTCCAGATTTTATTTTGGTTGGGGTTTTGCTTTTGTTTGCTTGTTTTCTGTAAAACAGTCATGACTATTGATCTTTAAGGGCTTTTTCTGACATGGGAATTCACTTTTCAGTTAAAAAGTTTTATCTGATTTATAACTGCATATTTTCAAGCAAAGAGTTCTTGAAAGTGCTACCTGATTTATATTAGTGTTTTTCGTATTTTGAATCATGCTGCTTTGTCATGAGCCCACTAATGAAAAATGCCTGCAAAAAAACCAATCTTCCCTTCTACCTCCCAGTAGGAAGACATCAGAAAGTCTCTGTGCTCTAATCCTATAGTCATACTGCATTTCTCTAGGGCAAACAATTTCTGGTTTAATTTCTTGGCTTGAGTTTTCTCTTCACCATTTACACCAAGTATAAATCATATTATGTTTGCTCAGTGGACAGATTAAGCATTCTTGTCTCCCAGTTCCGTACTGCTTGCTGAGGATCTCTTCAAAAAAAAGTGCATGTAACGTAAGTGGATGTAAAGGTCTCATTTATCACTTCCAAAATGCCCATCTTGAACATTAATTTTGTAGCTTCGCGTTTGAAGAGGTTTAGAGTTAGCACCCAGCTGATCTGATTTTGACTGGTCTAGCTGCCACATGTAAGAACAGAATGGACTAGCGCTGAATTTAGCATTCTTGGGCACTGAAGATTGCACCAGGTCATAGTGGATGTGACTTCGTATGTGACTTTTTTTAGTTGCTGGAGCTGCTCTGTGTGGTTTGTTTATCCCCCCGTACAAATATAATCCTATCAAAAATCCGGATTCACATTAACATTGATGGATGAAAGATATACGTATTGAGATTTTCTTACACAACCTGTAAAACATACCAAATGTTTTTTGTAGACTGTTGACTAGTTATCAATCATGAATGAATATGATACTCTCCACTCCATTTTCCTTGGTGGAAGGAAGTCCTAAATAGTTTCAGTAGTGGAATACTAAGGAAGAGTTTTTGGGTTTTTGTTTCATATTAAGCCAAGCTCTTTCTCTTTTTAAATCTAATTCATGTGTTTGCTTATATCAAAATCGAGTCATCTTTTTATCAATGCAGTGCATATGTGTTCCTACTTTATTCATAAATTATAACGCCGTGTCATGCCAGATACGCAACACAAAATACTAAGATCAAGGAAGTCGTTATAATGAACCTAAATCATGCTGCAGCAATTGATACTGTATGATTTTGGAACAGTGAAGTGTTTCTCAGCTATATGCTCCATGTACAGAGATAAGAGGATGCAGTATTAACTCTTTGTCTAGATTCATTGACGTGGACGAGTACGACTGATTTGGAGTACAGGATACCACTGAAGTTCCTCTGAGCTTTCTGCCAAAAATATAGTGCTTCATCTGAGTTCTGTTACCAGTTCTATTGTAAGTTGCTGTGGAAGTGCATTTAAATGCATTCAAGTATGTTAATAGCTGTTATTGTACTGAATATCTGCTGCATATAAAATACATAAACTTTTTTGTCTGTATTCTATACATAAATTCCGAGTTTCTACAGTAGGGAGTTCATTATCTCTTTTTGGAAATGTACCCCCATCTTCCTCAAGCTTAGGGAATTAAATAGCATATTGATGACACCTACTTCTCAATGTGCCTTGTTCTGCGTAAAAGAAAAGTGTTTCAGATCTGACAGTGACAAGAACTGTTTTCCCAGTATAACTTCTAGAGGTCTGCAGCTAACAGCCTCTTGGAAAATTTGGAAACTTCCAAGTTAGGCTGAAGTAATATTCTCAGTCAAGGAATTCAGGTTGTGAGTCAAGGGGGAGGGGTGTTATTTTGTTGTTTTGCCATTTTTTGTTTGTTTATTTTTTACATGTAAAAAATGCCACTAGCTTGAGGATGACAAAAGCAAAATAGTCAAAAGTTTTGTAAAGTGAATGGGCTTGTAGGTCACTTGCACCACCTTGTGATAGAAATGATGTATAGCAGTCTTCATATTCAGATGCTTGCCTTTTTATGGTCGTAATATATACATATGTACAGCAGAGAAATAATCTGTATCCAGAATTTTTTACTTTCCTATGTATTTCAGTTCTGATGAAGTTAACTGATTTACAGTGCCTATGCATTAAAAATATAATTTCAGCATACTGTTTTTCCGTTGTACTTTTGTATTCTGCATTTTCTGTGTGGTGATAAATGCTGCTTTTGCAGTTCCTATGGTGAATATTCCACAGGCTGAACGACTCAGATTTATAACGAGTGTTATCAGATGAGAGGAAAAATGCTTTTTCACTCAGTGGTTATGCCTGTGCAGTGTATATTTCATAAAGCATCACGTATAGGCTTTTAGCAAAAAGATGTTCTGGAATTCGACAGTTTTAGCGATGTCTGTTTCATGCTCTTTGCCACATTAGAGTTCTCCTGTTCATGCTTATTTCATACAATTATTACCAGGTTTTCAAAATCTTTTTTTTCAGAACAATGTCTACATTTTAAGTAGAGAGGCATGCAGATTTGGTTATTTTTAGTTTTCAAATACGTTGTCCTACTCCACCCTTCAGTTTGACTCAAGTGTAGTCAGGTCTGAGATGCTTTACTGGGAAGCTGAGAGACACTAGAGCCACAGCGTTGCACTTTAGTGAGCTTTGCTACTGGAAGCTGCGTTTTCTAAGTGCTCTAGAGTAATTCACTCAGCTTCACCACCAGATTTATCTACAGGGTAGAATTAGTTCTTGAAAGGGTTTAATACATCTTACAAAAGGAGCAGGTATTGACTTTTTTGTGTTGTCCCTTCTGGTGATGTATCATTCCTTCTGGTCAACACCCCATAAATAGTTGCCACCTGGATTCCTGGACCCTTCCTGCCCCTGCGCATCCACAAAAATGGAGGAATTCTGGGAATGAGAAAATACTCCAATAACAGAAAAGTAGGATGTCATAGAATCATAGAATTGTTTAGGTTGAAAGAGATCTTGAAGGTCATCGAGACCAACCATTAACATAGCACTGCCAAGTTCACCACTAAACCATGTCCCTAAGCACCACATCTACATGTCTTTTAAACACCTCCAGGGATGGTGGCTCCACCACTTCCCTAGGCAGCCTGTTCCAATGCTTGACAACCCTTTTAGTGAAGAAATTTTTCCTACTCTCAATTCTGAACCTCCCCTGGCACAGCCCACCTCGCTACAACCTCCTCTCGTTCAGTTGTAGAGAGCAATAAGGTCTCCCCTCAGCCTCCTTTTCTCCAGGCTAAACAACCTCAGTTTCCTCAGCAGCTCCTCATAAGACGTGTTCTAGACCCAAATGGATGTTACTTCTTTGTGGCCGTGATCTACAAATGCTGATGTTTCTCCTCTTTCATTCCAGGTGTAAGGAATGTGAGAGCTGTGCATAACTTGGTAATTTTGCAGACAGAACTGAAAAGCTTTCCCGCAATCCTTAGTGGTTCAGAGCTGTAGGAAAGCAGCAACTCATGGGATGCTCCGTTGCTGCCATGTAATGGCTGCTGCTGCAGTCTCAGCCCTTTGTGATACGTGTCGGTGTGTGATTGATGAACTTGGATAAGCCAGCAGTGAAAACGTTTGCAGTTACCTGGCAGCATTTGTGTAGGCAGAGGGGATCGGATCTTTTGCAATGAGAACACGTTGCTCCTTAATATCACGTTAAAATATGGGGGTTTATGTGGTTTTTCCCCCTTCCATAATGTTTTGACAACTCTGAATAAAAAGATGTGAGAATCACGTAATGAATTCATTGATCATTATTATTCACTGAAGGCCTCATTTGTGAAGCAGTTCTGCAGTATTTCTGATTTTGGGATTGTATTGAGACGTTCCTGGCTGTGCAATAGACGAATAATTTTTTATAATGCATCTGAACGTTTTCTACCTCTGTTGCGACATCCTTTTCTTTTGCATATCACATAACAAGTACCATACAAATAAAGACGATTCTTCCCATGTAGCAGTTGAACCTTGACCTCACTGCTAATATGAGAGAATTTTCTTTCTAAGATAGATTTGGATTTTGGTCATGTCAGAGGATGTGTGGAATATACAATATATGGAATTCAGTCATCCAGCTTTTACTCAGGCAAAGCTCTCACTGACTGTGGTTGGGCTGCCAGCTTTGCTTGTGGTTAGAGAAGTTCAAAGGCTTTACAGAACAGGCCTATAGAATGCATAGCCCGCAGGATCATGTATCGCCTGCAAAGTGAATGTTTAATTTTGTCATGGTGCCTTCCTTGGTTGGCTGGTCAGCTGAGGAGGTGTGGAGCCTGCCCTTACAGTTTCTTGGCTTGGACTCTGCATAATGGTTGTGGTTCCCAGAACTGTTCATCAAGTGTGGACTGAAAGTGGATCGGGAAAGAGAGGAGACTCAAACCCATGGGAGAGAAAAAAGTAATTGGCAATTAAAAGCTTAAAACACAGCTTCAGTCTTTTGTTTGGTATTGCATCCCTTTCTGTGATGCGTCGATGCAGAAAGTTGACAGTGCGGGAGCTCCGTGCTAGGAAGCTGTATCTCTCTCAGCTGTGGTGCTCGTAAAGGATCTGTTTTAGGTCACAGGCACGGTGTAGCTCAGCCCCAGCAAGGCATGGGGCTCACTTTGTACCGTCAGTCGAGGTCTGTGGAGGTGAACAACTGGAGCATTGGTTGAAACTATGCACCACAGAGCCAGAAAGTGTAAATCCTGCTTTTTATGAAATAGCCTTTATTTTTCAAGTGGCCAGATAGATACCAAGATTCTTCAAAAAGTTAGCCAGTATCAACTGCTTGCTCTTCAGAGGGCATTATTAATGCTCAATCCCTGGAGAAAATCAAGCGTATAAATTGGCAGCCCAAAGTTAAAGGTGAGCCCTGGGGTGTGTGGGGGAAACATCTAAGTCTTTGCCATATTTATTCACCAGAGTCAGAGACAACCGGAGCAGATGCTCGTGCTTTCAGAGGGCTGGCAATAATTCCACAATCCGCTCCTCCATTGGGGAATTTTTATGATTTTTATTTTTTGACAAGGATTTGGTTTTGTAGCCCTCTGTCCTAAACTAAAACATCCCAGCACACAGCATCCCAGCTCGCTGCACTGAGCCACGCCGGTCACAAGAGCAGGTCACTGATGAGAATTGCAAAGGGAGGAGAAAGAAGGATCGAGAGAAACATAAGTAACCTCAGCAGCAGTAGCGCAGTGAGGAGAAAAAGAATAACTATAGGGAACCAGAAAAGAAAATAGAAAAGAACACAAACAAAAATTAGGAGCAAACTGAGCAACAGGAACAGCAATAAGAAAGCAAAGATAAACAGGAGAGGGAAGAGGAGAAGCAGGAAAAAGACAGAGTAAGAGATGAGGGAGAGCATGGATCGAACAAGAAACAAGTGGTCCCGAAATACTATCTGAGCTCTGATTCCTATTACATCGGAAGTTCTCTCTTCAGACTGAAGGTTAAGAGGGAAGTACATAAATAATTTTTCCAGTTGTCTTAGAAGAGGAGGGAGGGAAAAAGAGGAGTGGGGTAGATTTTTCTCGAGTGGTCTCTACTTTATGTTCTGTACCCAAAAGCAAAGTCACGCTAGCCCCCTGAATTCAGCAAGACAATAGATGGGGCCACAGCCCAAAGCACCATCTATTTGTCTTTTTTCTCTTTAATTTCAACCTTAAGGATCTCTCCTTCTTCTGCTCTGGGAGACGGAGACATACTAATGATCAGAGACTCGTTAGTGGTTCCTCTGTGCATAACTGCACGGGGTTTAGGCTTAGCATCTGCATTCGGCTCTTCTTTTTGAGCAGGGGGTGCAGCTGAGGGCGCGGGCTCCACGGGCTTCTTCTCCTCTTCAGGCTTACTCTCTGCCTCAGTTTTAGGTTGCTGGAAACAAGAAGTTACATGTTTTCCAATGCTGCAGAAGAAACTCAGGAACTAGTTCTATTCTGTACATGCAGTGGAAAGGCACAGCATGAATACTGCGGTTAATGGTACACAACATAGATAAATTTGTGTTTAGATGCTGAAAATCAGTTTCTAAATAAAAAATGCAATTTCAGAATCAGAATGTCAGCATAAAACCTAGGAAAATCGTGTGGATACCGCCAGTATCTGTTTCTTATTAATACAGGACGAAACAATCACATTTTGGGGCACACAACCCGTCCTTAGGTTTTGCCTTCCTTTAGGTACTTACACTAGTATAGAAAGAAAG